GTGTGTGTGTGTGTGTGTGTGTGTGTGTGTGTGTGTGTGTGTGTGTGTGTGTGTGTGTGTGTAATGGGACAACAAGCAATACGGAGATCGTGATGAAGGATTTCGATTTGGTCCTGCTTCCACATCAGGTTGGGCAGTCTGTGAATCTCTGAACTGACCACGGGAAGGAACCAACCAGTCGATCAGCTAACAGCGAATAACGATCGAGGACGGAATTTCGGATCACGCTGAGCTATGGACGCCACCTTCAGCTGACAATGAACCCACATAACTGAGCCGATTTACGCCTGCGCACATGTAATCTGTTCAACAGTTTAGGATGAGCTTTTGGAGTAGAGTTTCTGGGTAGGATAGTCATCTACCAGAGGAAGTTTTGGCTGCTATATCCTCAGAACTTTGACTGTGGAATTAACACTTTAAACCTACTGAAACTGCACAGTTTCATGTCCATAGGTGACCACTACATAGCTTAACATCGATTTGCGTATTGCTGACTTGTTGGAATCACCTATTCGTTTGATCAGCAAGTGGCGCATTAGCTTGCGAATGAAAGGTCGTCCCATATCTGTGTCAACATAGCTAATAATGGTTCTAAACGGCGTAAAAAGAGATCTTCGACAGGAGACTTCTGTCAAGGAGGGTTTTTTTATGGCCTATAAGCCAGTTTACTAGTGTTTCCAAGTTCTCATCTGGATTCTCTGTTAGCTTTGGAGGTATTTTGGTTGAGAAGATTGGGGCGTTTGCTTAAAAGAGCCAAGCATACCCAGTTTTAGGGCTGAAGGGTAGTGAGTTGCGTAATTGGCAACTTAAATTTTTTGTTATGTGAAGGTTTAATCAACTTCTCTCTTCTTTTTAGGCCAAAATCACTGGGAAAATCAGCGTCTCTAATAGATCGCTTTCTTGATGCCTTGTTGAATCAGAAGCCGATGGTGATAATCGGAGTTAACACAAGCTTACTGCCTCAAACTCACACCAACACTGGATAACGATGTGCTGCTTTATAATTATCCACACTCGGGTGTCCAAGTTACTGCTATTCAGACTGGAACAGCTTGTAAGACCAATTCGCCAGATCAGTCCGATTGTATACGCATTGCCGTGTACGTCCACTATGGCGGTATACGCGGCGTCTTTAATTGGTTTCAAATAATTTACCCGAAACTGATTTTAATTTTCCATAGAATTTAGCAAGATTGGCTCGACAAGTTGGCCTATAAATCCTGCTTTGTGAGTGTGGGGATGATACTTGGTTAGAAAATTTGGGGTTTAAGGAGATGAAAGGAAGATGTGGATGAGTCAGACATGTTTGAAATTGAGTGATCGGGGTAAATTGAACCAGCAAGGTACGGAATTTGCCACCAACGCGGATTACAACGAGTAAATCTAACTTGAATTCAAGTCCAAAGGCAAGAAGCTGCTGACGAATGCTGTCCTCACATTCTGTCCAATCACATGACCCTAGTCGGTCGCCCGGTCACATGTCACGTGATTATCGCTCACACGATGCCCCTGTGAGCTGACTCTTAACGCCCGGGTTTGCCACGTCCCGTCCACTACCTCTGCATGTAGACGTTTTACCTCAATATCTGGCCCACCCGTCTTTCTCCAGATCATAGTAACAACCACAGCACATCCAAACCCCAATAACAGGAGCCTTTTTGTATCAATGATAGTTGCAATCGACCTGGATAGTGTAGGCTCATCCACTAACCAAACTATTGAATTCAGTTTAGTTATTTTGGGTAAACACTTGGATGAGCCAATGAAAATGCAGTTTGATGCGAAGGTCACTACAACTGCGCCCAGTCAACGGACATACCATATGCGCTACGCCACGTGGCAAAAGCATTCGCCACGTCGCCCAGCTTTGAGAGATGGAGAAGTGGGAGACATATCCGCCAGAAATGTTCATATAAGCGGCATGTGTTTGCGTTCGCGAACACATATCTGCCCAGTTTACGAGCCCTCTCCATTCTGGCGTCGGTTTTTAGTTGGAGTTCTCGTTTAGGACCTAAAAACGGACGACACTAATGGCCCAATAATGACATTACTCAGTAGACCGTGGTGGTTGTGAAGCGTTACACTTGATTGTTCTGACAACCTGTTGAATAAACGGACTTTGACGTCGGTTTCGGCGTTCTATGTGTAACAGAAATCTGAATAGCCTTTTATTTTAACCAATACCTACATCTAATCGACCTGTTTTAGATTGGACGGATGGAGACAGTTTACTTTCTGTCACAGGTTTAAATTTGGCTGCGTTTTCACGCCAACAACGAAGTCGCGTTCGTTTGGAGGGATCAGTTGACACGTTTTCGCCCTAGAGGCTGGTTACTCAGCCGGCTTAGTCATTCGCGGGGAGTTGACAGACGCCTTTTGCTTACTGGGGAAATTGTGTTCTCGCAATCACGCGGAGAGGGGTACCATATTTCAGATGTGGACTACTTCAACAAAGCATTTAACATTCGTTGTCTATGACGTAGAACTCTTAGCACGAGTAAAGTTTGAAACCTACGAAGGCAACCTTTGGATGCTTACAAACAACTGAAATCAGAAGAATGTTAACATAAATAGTCAGTTTAGAAATGTGAAGTCAGTAGCTTGGAAGAAAGCTGTTCCATCTTTTACTACGCCTTGGTTGTCGAGATTCTAGAATGACAGCAACCCATTGGTAAAGGAATGACCGCGCTCTCCTATTGGTCATTTCTGCATAACGGCGAATGCGATCCTGAGAAGTAGCCAATAAAAATCCATTAAAGACTACCACTTGGTGGATTAGAGGTTGTGCGTGGGAGAAATTAAGATGAATTTAAGGGCATATGTGTAGGCGTGGGAAGGCTGAGCGTTGAAGACGGTTTCAGGTCCCAAAGTAAGCAAGCAACTTAGCCAATCAGATTTCAGTTTGCTTAATCCGATAGTGGAATGGCAGCAGAAGCGAAAGAGCTGACGATTGTCCGATCTGATTCACCGTAGGCAAACTTTCAGTTGTGACTCACCCTTAGAACGGGGGCCGAAATTCGTGAATAAAAGTTTTGCTCAATTTTGAATAACAATTGCTGAAAAATCATATTCAGCAATGCTGGTAAAGCAAAACGATCATTTTGTCTAAAAATATCCGAATAAGTAGGCTTATCCATTGGGAACCAAATAGACAAGGTTTAGTTAACGTGTCAGTTATGTCAGCGCAACAAGCGAGTTCAATTCTGGGTAACTAATAGTGAAGCTTCCCCAAACCCAACTGTGTACAGGATCTAAGGATGAAACACGTTCTCCTTGGGAAATTGATCTGACATTGTGTTGACCCCTGAAGACAGTCTACATAGGCCGTTCACGTAAATCTTATTGAAGGTGGTTTCCAATTTCGGTGAACCCGAATCGAAACAACTGCAATTTTAATGTCGAACTAGCTTTCTGTTCATGAATTCTGGTCCACAGAGTAACGTGCACACAGATAATGATTCATTCCTATAGTAATGCCGATTATGACTTGAAATACTCACTGCTATAATCCTTTGACATTAAATTAGGATTTTAAGTTTGAAGAAGCAATGCAGTTGCAATAGTCGCAACGGACAGTACCGAATCACCGAAGTAATCAGGCGATAAAGAGTTTAACCCTCTGATACTTAGTCTTAGAACTGGAAAAATAGAATTTGGCATTCTGGCGTGCGACTGAGTTCAATAGAACACGTTGAATAACCGTCACGTGTTGCAGGTTTACACCCATTCACATATCTGTCAACTTCTTCGACGAAGACCAAATTTAATGGTACTCGTTTACTATGTACGTCTGGCCTATTTCACTGTTTTGTAAATATGACAACTTTTAACAAATATGCACCATCAAATGTTAAGTGGTATTGCCTTTGCGTGATACATTCAAGCTAGGACGACTTCATTCTTGAAGCAAATTTGATTGAACACCGCAAGAAAAACTAAAAGGTATATTGCACAGTAAATTTATTTGCTAATAGTGAAAAAAGCTTTAACGAGTTTACAAAGTTTCAACTAATTTCGTTACCAATGCCTTCATGGTTTCCGATCGTTTAGCACTCATTTCCAAAACTTCTTCATGGCAGCACGTAGCCTCAACGCTCTCGTCAAGCAATATTTTGTTGGTGATCAAAGACATTGCGAAGACTTTCATGCCGGCGTGATTTGCGACAGTGGATTCATGAACAGTGCTCATTCCTAAGAGAGAATGACTGAAAAAAATACTTCGAACCTGCAGCGTCCGCACCAACCTTCAGCAAGAAACGAGATTCAGCGGGTGTTTCATATGCAGGTCCAAACTGAGCTACGTAGACACCTTCTCGGACAAAGTGATCGACGCCTAGTTGCTTTGCGATTTCCTTGACAGTGTTTCTCATTTGTTTTGGGTATGCATTGCACATTGACGGGAATCGTGGTCCAAATCTAGACGGTACTTTAGTTGCGCTATAAATCAAACCTGTCGTCATTCGGCCCGGCAAGAGGACTTTTTCCAGTCAATGAGAGCAAACTAATGTGGTCTTTGATAATCATAATATCTCCAACATTATATTCCGGATTAAGCGATCCAGCAGCATTGGTAAGGATAAGATGTTCAACACCAAGGAGTTTCATGACTCGTATCGGAAGAGTAACCTTACGAAATGCAAGAAAATTTAATCATACCTTCGACATTTCAAAACCTTCATAAGGGTGAAATCTCCCTTGCATAACAACAACATCCTTGCCAGCGAGTTTTCCAAAAACAAGGTTTCCAGCATGTCCAACAACTGAGAATAAAGTAACGTAATAGCCTACCGGTGTTCTTGGGAAATTCCTTTATTTCAGAATACTTCACCACGACTGCATCAGTGACGGTTTCGGCTAAGGTACCAAGACCAGAACCACAGACGATGCCTATCTTCGGTTCCACAGACACCTTCGACTTGATGAAATTGGCAACAGACAGAGCTTCCTCGTAAGATCCCATTTCGCTCACTCACAGATTGAAAGTGATGCATTGTTCAGTAACCTTAAAACTCGAAGTCCACTTTATGAGTTAAAACACTTTGAAGATAAATTAGTAAAATATTCTAAAGAAATAAATCTTGCTCAAATGTTACGAATAATTATTATGTCTTATCAAAAATATGTACTCGTTGATGTTTAACTTACAAAAGTTTGGTCAAAAGGCAAAATATCACTCTAGTTATTGTAACCCAAATAATGGGTTTTTTTGTGAACATATTCTAGTTTTGCTGTGTCCCATTAGGCACCTAGTATTTTTCAAAGTGTACATGGGATAAAATATGTCGATTATGACCTAAAAAATGTGAAATACAATGTCAATGCATGGTGAGCATTTTTTAGATAAGATTGGCTTGAGTGTTCATGACAGAGTCCTAACTCTATAAGCCCATGTTTTGAATCCCTAATAAGGCTAAAGCTTTTTGTTACAGAAGTTCCTTGCAGTATTATTCAATTTTACCCGTTACAATAAATAACAAACCGACTACAATGCCAAGACTAGCGTCAGTATTTATGAATGTTCTTTAAGCCAGACCACCAAAATGTCTACTTGAAAATGTACGCGAGAGTGAATATCAACAACTAATGGTGAGCGTATTTTTGCCATCTTTAAAATTTTTATTAAATTAAAATCATTAATCGGGTAGATTCCCAAATTTAGTGATTTATAACTCACTTTTCAGCAACACTATTAGTTAATAATCGGCAACAAACTGAAAACATGTAAAGGACAGGCGATAATAAATGCAAAACTTATCTGGCGTCTCACCACTCAAATATGGATGAGAACGGTAATTGTTAATTGATATTAGATCAATTTGCTAACATGACCCACTCAGCTTATTTTCTGATATTTTGCAGCTCTGTTACACATTGCACTAACACATGATAAAAATAATCAAGGTCTTATGGCCGAGGCATAAAAGTCACTTAATTCTGTACAACTTGATTTTGGTGCATATTGGGTCGTGTATTTTGAATGGCTCAAGCATGACAGATAATGAGAACCCATTAGTAATTTTTCATTTTCAGCGACATATTTTTGGGATCTGCTTATAAGGAATTCGTTTTTGTTGTAATGTCAAAATGAGATATGTCACTTTCCCAGTTTTTTTCAAGTGGTCAAATCAAAATCATAAATTTAAGCACTTTGGCTGGTTTTCAATGAATGTATTAAAGAATAGCGGTTTCGTTTAACGAGAGACTTATTGAGTATTAGCCAAAGATTAAAAGCAGTGACGATAGAAGTAATCTTGATATTAGGATTTTGATTTGTAAAATTTTCTGGCAGCAAAATTACTGTCGATTTCGCAACAACTCAAATCGCATAGTACGTCTGTTAAGTCTTTTAAAAGCTGATAGTCATTAAAAAGATTTCAAGAATTAAATATCATTTTTTTTCAATGGATACACTTCAAGAACGATCGTTCGCGTTCATCTTAAAGTATGCATATTTCCCAAAAAATATTCCAGTTAATATTACAATTCTAAATATAACTTGACATGTCTATTGGGCTTCCCGTAAATTTCTGCAGACCTGGTTCATAGCATCAATGCAGTAGCAGCGGAAATTAAATTTGCAGTTTACATTAAGTTCCTCTGATGCTGCCGCCAAATACGTGGCAACGGCGTGTAAAAAAATCCTTTTTGAAAGTCAAAAGAGCATTCGTATTTTTCACAGATAAATTTTGTAATTGACCGATGCTCGCTAAATTTACCCGATCACTTTGGTCATCATCGAATTAGCACCTACGTTAGCCAATTTTGTTTGCAAAATTTTTCCCAATTTGAGATCACGAAAGTTATAACTTCATAATACGTGATAACGTCAAATAGGTTAATATAGTCTGTTACGATCCTAATTTCAGAGTTAATTCAGTTTAGGTTTGGATCCCATCAAAAAAGTTAGCATTTTAGAACATCTCTGTGTTTAATGTTTAGTCTTTTGTCCTAATTGCATTATTAACAATTTTTTAGTTAAGGATAGCATTTCTTTGAAAATGGCTTTTAAATTTTAATACCTAAAATACATTTAAATGACCGATCTTGGAGAATTAATAAAAAGAGCATATTTTCCACGATTTCAATCCAGGCACTAAAAACCATTTAACTTTATTATGTGTTAATTTTGTGATCCATGTTGAATTCTTACATTGGTGGCCATTTTTACTTTAGAACTCTAAGTAGATAAAATATAAAAATATTACTGAATAAATCGCAAAGCACAAGTGCATTCTAGACATTTTTAAGGGCGCTTTGAAGTCAAGTGTTAAACACGATTAAAAAATGAATTAGATGAGTTAAAATCTAAGTGAATACAAATTCATGAATATAATAGACAGCAGCTATACTATGAAAAACATAACACTCCACAAAACATACACTTCAAAAATTTAGGCTAATATGAACGTAGGAAAATTTCCAGTCAGACAATGTTAAATTTATTACTTCAATACGTAATGATTGAAGCATATTTCTATATGAAAGTGAAAATGTAAAAGTATTGTGTGGTTAAATTAATCAGATGAATTGAGGCTAAGCTTTGATAGTCAAAAAATATCCAGTATTTTCTTTGATTTATTGTATTTAAATATCCGGTAACGGTAACGGTTCTTTTTTAAGTCTTAAGCTTATAACTATAGCCAAACAAAACAATTAAATTGTGATTTAAGCTTTTGTGTCTGTGGTTTTGATTCTTGATGGTTAAACTTTTTGTTTCGCCATTTTATTGCTCGGATGATTTGGTATTCAGTCATAACAAAAAGTACAATTTAGCTTATTTTTTTAGTAATGCACAAATTAAAAGTAATTAGGTACGTATTTTAACACAAAATTATAAACACAACATATCTGGTTTTGGAAAAATAAATTTTAAATTTGTTTTATCGTTTTTTTGATGCGAGCGCTTTCCCTGAAACTGCGCCAACACTTCAGTTTTGACGTCGGTCATGTCTTTATCGACAATGCGAAGTGATGCTGAGTTCGCAGGGAGGCTGGTTATTAAGGCCCAATTACACGATGACATAAGAAGGATTCTTATTCATAATGAAGAACTGACCTATGACGAACTCATATTAATGATGCAACGCGTATTCAAACCGAAGCTTGATGGCATCGATAATTTTATCATCAAGTACAAGGATCAAGGTACATGACAAAACTTGCATAACGGTTTTTAGATGATGATTACGTTACAATTGCAGAAGAATTCGACTTATCCTATGCCATCCACAATCATAAGGTTTTGCGTCTAAAATTATTTGGTAAGCTTATTGGCGATTTTTTGTGCATAAGAATGCCACACGGCTTTTGAATTAAATTGGCGAAATTTATTACAGTCATAGTTAGTGGTTGCTAACTTTGTTTGTCTCATGCAAAGTCGAGCTTTTAGCCATTAAAAACCTGATTTATCAGTTTCATTCTCTGGCACTCCTGTTGAACCCATAGGGAGTTGTGGCCTGTATTGCACACCTTGGCACCATATTTTTAATCCACTTTTTTTATTATTCTAGTGTTGCCCATTCAGATAACTTCATATTTTTTACAACCTTCCTTCCTCGAAATGCGTTTTAGTTCCACAGGAGTCCACATCGCCAACCGAAGAAGCGTCTGTTGAAGAACTCCCCAATCACTCGGACGCTGATGTTCCTGGCACATGTGGTCGAAAAGCCGTTATTATGGAGCTTAGGCGTCTTCGTGATGACTTCAATATGCTCGCTGAAAAATTAGACAACTTTATTTTACATCAGAAGCTGGAGCCAACTAAGAAATCCGCGAACGCTGGTGATTCTTGCCCTACAGAGGTTAGCTACGTGTAACCATTCGAATTACTAATGTTTAATTTAATTTAAAGTTTGTCAATTGTATCCGCATGGTGCATTCAACTTTTACGACTTCTGCCGTGTTAGCGCTATGGTGTTAACTGCCGCAAGGCATTTTTCAGATACTTACTCGTGTAGCAAAATAATTACTACTTTTAAAATTTTGAAATGTTTTCTTGTGTTTCCTAGCTAGCCGTTTAATATCCTACATTGTAATTGTCACACAAAAAGATCCTCTTATCAATCCGCTTTCACAGTAGTGGCAATACTGTCATCTGTAGATGTTTTGACGTCTTTTTTAAGAAACCAGAGCTTCCCGCGAGCAGTAACGCCATGCCTCCCAGACCTTTTGCATCCGATGTGCCGCCGACCACATCTCACGTCTGTCCACCGGGGCCTTCGGCCACGCCGGCGAGTTTGGCCTCGTCTCTGTCGCAGAATTTCGCAAATGTCACCTTGGGTCAATCCGTTGAGCCGCCACCGGCGTTTTCGCGACCATCCGAACCACCCACCTCTGCGTTCCGGCCTTCACCGGTATGTGAAAATTTCATGCAAAACTATACTACTGTTTCTCGTTAAGTACCATCCATTTAACCTGTGATGTAAAGCATGTTTGGTTGACTTGTGTGGGGATCGTCAACACTTTAATCAGGGATTTGCCCCCGGGATCAGGTTCTCGGGTATCAGTTTAATCTCGTTGAATGTTTTGCAAATCCATTCGCCGCAGTTATATTATTTGAGCGCGACCACATTTCAACCAATGGCTAAGTACGCAAATGTAAACCAGCCCTGCTTGTTGCTAACCTTTTCGAGGCGGTCATGCGTCTCACAAAGTGCGCACGGTGCTGCGTCGTGTTGCGCTTTACGTGCTTCTATGATGACTACCACGCGCAAAGTTATTATCATCTTGCAATTACCGACAGCCTATGTTTGAAACACCTATTTGACTCATTGATCTTTTGTACAGTAGGGTAAAGAGACTGCGGCGGGGCTCGAACACGGGCGACCCGCAAACCGTTAAACTTCATCATTGATTTCCTCATAAAGCAGCTTCGAGACGCAGTTCATGGTGTTCCACGAAATCACCTAGTTCATCTTCACACACACACAATTGGCGATTATCTAACTCAATCGACTCCCTTAATAGGCCCTCGGCGCAGTAGACAAATGGGGACTAGTCCTTTTATTCGCAGAGTTCATTGTTTTCCGCCGTTGTGCGCGTGCGTCCTAACTGTGCTTGATCCTTGCTTGTTCTACAGTGCAAACATGCAATTCGCACAGGTGTTAATCGCCTCTCAACTGCAGGCTCTTGTGCGCGTCACGGGGCAGATAAATTCTGTCCGTGGCCGTCTGATACGCGTTGACTCGTGTGTGTCCGTGGGGTGTGTGCGCGCGCGTGCGTGTGTGTGTGTTTTCAACTCCAGTGCAGTTACGTTTCTGGGTGTCTAATCAAAAACGGCCATGCGCGACTTGGTGTCTCATGCACCATCTGTCCGTAGCGCCTCGCACACGAGTCGCTGCTACTTTCCTTAGTCAAGTTGTCAACGTTCGCTCTGTCCCTTTAACTTCTGTCAAATCACGTAGACTTGCTTGGTTTCCAACTCCGTAGTCTGTTCATCCATCTCCGTGTAGGTGGTAATTTCGCGTTGGGATAAATTCAATACCGAATCAAACATTTGAAACCGTTTTTTTCCTTCTTCACCAAGTGATTGGTCAGGACTAGCCATACATCACTGAAGCCAACCGATCCCACTGCTTGGTTCACCTCAGGGAAAATGATGATGCACTAACTGTGTCAACGGGGTGCAGACCGTGGGTGTTTATCGCTATAGACCCATGCAAACCCACTGATACCTAAATCGTGTGGGAATAATTTGATTTTTAGAAGTCAGCTGCGTTATTTTTGGTTTAGAAAAGCATCAAAGAGCTTCGAAGCCGCATTTTAATGCCGGGAGGGTTGCTTTTAGGATGTAGTGGTGCACGTCTGTTGCAAAGACGTGATTTGGATGCGCCGCCAAAACACGCAAATCTAATGTTCCCCTAATGGGCTTGCGTGTGGATGTGGGAGTTCCACATTCAAAACCCATGTCATCAATAACCATTTCCATCCTTTGAGGAAATGCCTCAACGCTGCCGCAGCCGATATTCCCTCCACTTCTGGGGGTAAACGTTACATTTGCTGGAACCAGCCGTGCATTGGCGTGATGAAGCAGCTCGAGTAAAACAGGCTGAAGCTATCGCGATTAAATATAGCTTTGCAGACTTCGACATCAACTAGGGTCCTTGTGGCCCCTTCGTAAAGGCAAAAAATCTGTCATTTCATAACCCAAATTCCACTCATTCTGCGGGCATCTTCAAAAACAACACAAAGGCCGTTTCAAATCGTTTTGCGGAGTCCTCTGTTAACCACGAATCCTGCGTACACATAGACAAGTTTGCATATATCCATCTAAGTTTTTTCAAGACAACTTTTTTTTCCCTTTATGGAATGAGGTGTACCCACGTTAACAGGCCTTGTGAGTGACCCTCGTGCCGCCTTTGTCCCAATTTCCTCGTTTATTTGTCCTATTGCACTAGGTGGTTGCAAAACAGGCAAGTTGAATACAATTTTCGGCGGAAATGTGATAAATTAAACGTTCCTCAGGTCGGCGTTTTAGTCCATCGGTGGCCGAAGCAATCCTGTTCGTGGTATTATCGAAGCACTTTGTGAAACCTACTGATTGCCTCAAAATCGCTACCGAAAAGATGGGGAGGTTTACACTTTCGTACCTATTCAGTAGTTGAAATGTAGTCGCGCTCAACTGGTGCAATGGTAGTGAGTGGATGCTATCAGACTCCGCGTGTCACATTGTTGGTGGTGGTTTCCTTTGTAAGTTTGCGTTTTTAGCGCCTAATCACCACCCCACTCTCGCGTGTTTTTTTATGTTGCAGAGCGTTGACTCAACGTCGGCGCCACCACCGCCCCCCCTTCAAATGGGCGGTCCCGGGATGAGCCACTTTTCTCAGCCGGCGCCCACGAGCGTCGCGTCGCCTCCGCCCCTGAGCGGCGGACCTGCACCGCCTCAGCCGCCACCACCGCCGCCGCCACAGCATTCAGCGTCGCAGCAGCCGGCACTGTTGCCGACAACGAACCTGCCGCCTCTCAGCGTACCACAGGCCGCCTTCCCGTCGGCTGTTCCGTCGCAGTTGTCCGCGAAGCCCGTTCCTCAGCCGCCTGCGGTCGCAACGCCGCCACCGCTACATCCAGTAAGTCGTCCCGGCGTTTTTTGCTCTCCCAACTGCCTCGAGATGTGCGCTGTCTGGCCACTTTTTCCTCAACGACTTCACTGGTGCGGCGGGAGCGCTATTAGTCGCGCTCACACACGGGCGCACCAAAAGCGACACGCCTTGTTGACTTTCAATTTCCCACAGTGGGGGGAGCTTCAGGCGTTGGTTTCAATCATGCGGGTTTCGTGGATAACTTGGACAGATTAACTGCCCCCTACAATGCCTCGGATTTGACGCCGTTCACCTCGGTGCCACATGATTGGTCATAATTGGACTTAGGCGCTGTTTCACGTCTCGTCTGTGTGTGGGTGTGCGTGTGTGTGTGTGTGTGACTTAAATGTCCCATGCACAAACAAACAATTGACTAGCAGTATTCGTAAATAAACATCGAGTGCAGCCCCTAGCGCGACCGGCGTTAACAAGTGTTTTGTTTCATCACAAAACCAATCGTCAGAGTGCAGGTAGCGAGCCTCACCACCATAGGACACCAGGCTGTTTCGTAGTTGACCTTTGACCTACACGTGGATGTCTTGCGGTCGCTTTCTGCTTAACGAGATCGGTGCAGCCAAATCACTCGTTTAGAAGATTTGAAGCCAATTTGTGGAGTTTGTTAATTCGTTGAAATGCCAGTGTCGTAGTCCACCTCTCTCAGTCCGTGTGCGTTTGGTTTCTCTTCTGCCCGCAACAATCAGCTCAACACAAATCTGGTCTGCAATTTTAGCCGGTTAGCCAGTTCACGCCGATGATGATGAGCACCGCGAGCAGCATGGTGCCACCTCCGCCGATGCCTCTGCCGGGTCAGCGTTTCCCCACAACCACCTCCGCGGCGGCGGCGGCGGGCGGGTCGGGGATGTCGGTTCCCCCGCCGCCCGGACCCGGATCGATGGGTTTCCCGTCGATGGGAGGACAAATGTCGATGCACCTGGGAGGACCGGCGCCGCCCCCACTGCAGCCGCCTCCCCCGCCTCCGATGCAGCCCCTCCAGCTCGGCGGGCTGCCGTCTAGCCAGTTCGCAGGCGCCACGCCTCCCCCTCCTCCCCCTTCGATGTTCGGCATGTACGGTCAGCGACCGCCACAGTGATTACTAGCTCATCAGCACTTGCATTCTCTCTCTCTATCTCTCTCTCTCGCGCGTTGGTTCATGTTCTGTTTCTTTTCTCGTGCGAATACTAAAAATGGCAATTCGAGTCACCTTGTTCTATCAACGGGGGTCGTAGCTTGCACAGGGTGGTTCGGATTGGATGATTCCATGGCGCTTGTCGAAGCGTTGGTGTTTGTATCGCTTGTTCCAGTAGTTTGATGCTCGAAGGGAAGTCAACTCGATCAACTGACTGTATGAATTTGGTAAAAGAGGACGTTGCGTCCTCAATGCATCACTAGATTCTGATCTGTCTCGAGGTCGATTTGGGCTCGGTGAGGTTGTGTCAACATGAAAAGGACAAGCTGGTGGAACAAGTTTTAGCGACCTGACGATTTATCGAGCGTGTTCGAGCGCAGTTGTTTCTCAATGGCCCGCAGGAGGCAGATCTGGTCTTTCCTCACGTCATCTGGGTCCGTCACCTCTTACTTAGACCTGAATTACAGAGGCAACTAGGAATGACGCAATATTCAATCAAATTCACGTGATAGACCAGGGGATTTCTCCAATCCGAACTCGATTATTAGCAAAAATGCCACACTAATTAGCCACCATTGATTACTCGCCGGAATTGAGTCAATATCGGATGTTTTGTGGGAACAAGTCGAACGAATTTAGTGTTTGAAAACGGTGGCGACGCCAAACTTGCATCCACCTTTAGTATTTTGCCATGAAAACGGTTTTCTTAGTAAACAGAATGCCCCCCCTATCCAGCGTCCAAACGAATGCAGACTATAGAAGATTCTCGTGGTGTCGATATCCGCATACTTAGAGGAGGTTTACGGTGACGAATGATGTGCGGAGACCAGAAAAAAGATGAGTAAGGCCGAATTCGATAGGGTCTCGATCTTTATCTAGCCGCTTCCGCACATCTCAGGTAGGCCTACTGGTAGCCAGAACTACCAACAAAGGTAGTAGCGATATAGCCCGGTTAGAAGCTTGACCTTTGAAGGCATGAATGCGGATGGTAACCTGATCTCACTTCCACTCTGTCCCTATCGATCTTCTGCTCATACACCCCTGTGTGCGTGGACCACCCCACGCTGCTTGTTACATTTATCCGACCGTCACCCAGACTGTACTGATATATCTAGCAAGCGGTTGTGTCTTGCCCTCTCCTGTCCTCGAAGTCGTCGCGAGTACTCAAGTTAGCGCTATCGACCTGGACTTAACTCTTTGACCTTGACGTGGTTTGGGGCTACATGTCGGGGCCCACACCAACCTCCTGGCATTCCTGAGGCAGGGTGGCTGGTGACTAGATGACATACTAGCAAATTTCCGGTGGGTTCCGTGCTCTTAACCATTATGGGGTTTGCCTCGTCCATCTTCATAAATCGATAGACAGGGAACTCAGAATGATTCATATTCACCTGTCAAAGTCTACTGTCCCTTGGATGTCGGGGTCGAAGTTTCGGACCTAGTTCGAAGCTCTCGGTCGATAAACTGGAAGTGTGACTGCCAAGAACGCACCGCATTCACCGCGATAGCTGGTCGAGACCGCACACCATAACCTCACATTATTTACCCAACACGATGAGTGTGTTTCACGTTATTTCTTTTTTTTTCACTGAGTGCCGCTGATGTGTGCATCCACCTGTTTTTTGTCTGCTTTGTGATCTACAAAGGCATCTGACCTGACATCATCATCATCATCATCCAACACGAACCTACTACAAAGCTCTGCGAGGTCGCGCGCAGCCGAAATCCAAGATTAGACAAATGTGACGACTTATTTGACGGCATGGGTCTTTTGCGCGCCAAGTCTAGTTCAGTTTAGAAGATTCGGAAGAGATCAGCACAATGCAAAGGTCTCGGAATTTTTATTAGAGAAAATGTAGCTTGCAATCTACGAAAATCTGAACTTTTCAACACGTAGTGTGTGCCCACAGAGTCGTCTGAAATTTACCGATGAAATGAGAACCCAGAATCCCATTTTACTAAGTTCCAATCCGCCAGAATCCTTCCCCAAATTAGGACAAACAAAACACGCTAAATAGTAGAAAAGTTTATAATGTCGTTCAACAAAGAATCGAGTAAAATTTCTCACTCGGTAGATTTGCCTAATCCTGCCTATTACTCGGCGCAATCTGTTGGGATCGGGGTAAATTACGTATTCGTGGACAACCTGAGATGTGGCGACTTCAATCGTTTAAATTTGAGGTTTTACGAATTCATTTCGCACAATTGAGCAGAGAAATGTTATCAATTTACACCATTCCAACAGGGGAAAAAATGGGTCATTTTAACCAACCAAACTAGAAGTTAGTGTTCAAGAGTAAACAATCAAAAGCAAATAATCTGTTATTTGGTGGAAAGAAGGCCTGTTAGCCTCCCCAAAATACACAATTAAAGATCTGTTCAATATTTGCCAGAGGCAGCATGATTCCATGCACAAGAAACAGCACAGCCTGATTAATGACGGTAAAAGTGAGTAAAAACAGCTTGGAGAGGGGCAGTGGGCTCTTCGACCTGGCGATAGACGAGGGAGCCATCTAGTATTGCTCAGCTGTGTCGAATTCGTGGACGTCAGTTGCATAGCGCACCTGAAATGCAAACGAAATCAGAGCACATTCGGCAGAGTGGATGAAGATTTGAGGTCATGATGGCAGTAGTCATTACGTCTACGCGTGGAAGATTGATGTTTTATCCCCTTTGTTGAATGACAAGTTCTAGATGTGCTTGTAAAGAATGCTTCCAGAGAGTTGGCTGGAGTAAGGCTCTTGTAGTGGACGGTGCTGCTTCACACCAATCAAGCCTGTCGTCACACATTCAGACTCACGGCTTTTCCACACTGAATTGGAACCATCTGTTTATACACCTCTACACACGCACCTCACCTGCTACGTGGACCAATCATCTCACAAATCGGTAGTTTACTCAGACTGTGTTGGTCGACAACCTCAGCCAATCAGACACGACTTTTTTTGTACAGTATTGAGCCGTCTGGTAGACGGTTGTGTCTCCACCATCTCCGGTCTTCTTAGTCTTTCCGGGTACTTGTGTTGTATGATCTGGACAAGCAATTTAAAAACCTCGACCTAGAGTGCTTAAGCCAGAATTAGCGAACCAGCCGAATTCATAGCAAGCTCTGATTGGTTAATTTAAATTTCGAACATCACGCTCAATCCCTGTTGTGATCTCCAAAAAAAAACATTTATTTGTGGGTTTAGCACTGCCTTCATGGAATAGGACACCGCGATAACTAATAAATCCTGGATTCTCCACGCTAGATAACACAATCGAACGGTCCAATGGGACGGCGGAGTGTCCACCTGTGCAACATTTAATGTCCAATCACGAAATTTTGGGCGCAATTCGCAGTTGCATTGAAATTTACTACGCTGGACCAGACTGCGTTGTTGATTCACATACGTTTAAAAGGTGGAGGCGACATCACGACAAGAACTTCCTTTTTCAATTGGCAAGACTACCGTGCACAATCCGACACGCGACGTAGCAGTCATTAGTCACTTGGATAGCACAACATGTGACACCACAAAACGAGAATTCTATGAGTTCTTCTTTGGCATAAACACGCACACACAGACATAGAGGGACAAATATTTAATTACGGCACTATCTAAATGCATTTTCGAAGTAAAAAAAAGATATTTCATGGTTACGACGGCGCCAAATAACAACGTATGATTGCATTTCTGTAGATGGCAGCTTTGCGTGAGCTGGTAGAGTGCATCTTGTCGAACGGGGAACAAGAATTTAGCTGGGCACGACTTCCCCCTTTACGTCACTATAAGCAAAACACGCAAATGGTTGGATTCGGGTTGGACAAAGTTGATTCGTTCACAAGTTGGACAAACGCGTGCGTTGAGATGAGTGCAGCATCTGATGGTCGTGGTGTTGAGGCGACACTCGGGCTTTGGAAGGGGGGAGGAGTATGCGCCAATCACAGGTCGCCATAACTTAGTCACAGTTTTATCGATCGTATCCAAGACGAACGACGAATTCGCAAATACGGTCACCTTGTCAAGGTCACTTGAAGATGCTGTGTTTATTTAAACAAACGGATCGGCACAAGTCGTGATGCGTGGGCTGTTTCAAGTACCTTAAAGTGTGATTTTTCAAGTAGTCATTTTTAGAGAGATCAATCAGGTCCAACTGACTGAAAGAGGAAAAATGACTTTTGGCATGGACTCGGTTGACAATGCCGGAAAAACTGTGATTGGTTTAGCGGAGTAAGGGTTTGACAATGTCCAAAGCTGCCGTGTTTCCGTTGGTTTTTAACGAGCATGATTAGGCATTCAGCATGATCACAAAAGTCTGAATTCAAACTACGAAAAAGGAAATCGGCTATTTTAAACAATGATTCTATTTGATTGAACTCTTCCGCAAGTTAAATTTGCTACCGGCTGCATAATTTCCCGAACAAATTAAGCGGATACATCTCTTTAACGTGAGGATTCCTGTCTACTATGTGTCTCAGTTTAGTAAAAACGAATGACCTGAGGAGATAATGACGTTAGTGAAACAAATGTCAGATTTTTTTAAACACGGACGCGAGGAGTAGCATTGCTGTCTCCCTTTAAGGAATTAATCTTCGCAAGTTCGAAAACAATTTCAGGTTAAATCCCCAGATAACTTGGCAGTCAATTGCCCGTTCAAACCAGCTTGGTTACATCCCCTGAGTATTTAAACCCAAAACATATTGTTTTGTTTTAAATTGATAGTGAGTAAACAAAGAGGCGTTCCCATGGAGATGCAAGAGAGGTTAATTGCAACGACAACACAAATTCCAGAATAATGTTCTGCTAAAGAGAGGTATACAAATAAGCCTACTTGCACATTCATTTCATGTACCTTCTGTTCTACAGGTTTAAGCATGCCGTTATGTGAATTATGCGATTTCAGACCAGGCTGTACAGGAGTCTGCAAGATCCGGATTTTCACACAAACCTTGACCGCATGTGTGAGTCACTCGTGGAATTAAGATGTCTTAGCCCCATTAATTTCCACACGCCTTTTGCAATGACCTAACACATCACCTTTCACCTTCATCAGATACTATCCTTTACAATGCCAGAAGGCATTGTTTGTTTACTCTGTTGAACTGAAATCAGCAGATTGACCTGATCTGACCAGAAATTGACCGTATCAGCAGAATTACTGGTTGTTTTAAAGCAGTGACTGCTGTCCGCAGCACAGATCACGTTATTGAATCACGAGCGAAACTGTGGTAAGTCAACAACACCACAGTCTCAATCATGGGGCCGATGCACGCCTCAAGAACCTCGACGCCGCCTCCACGCCTCGGCGATTGGTCACCTAGGGCGAGGGGTGACTTACCGAGAAGATGCCAACAGCAGCGCCAAGAAGCATGCCAGCAAGCACGTCTGTCCAGTGGTGCTTGTTGTCGGTCACCCGAGTCAATCCGACGTAGAACGCGGCGGTCACAGCTGCGGTCTGCACAAACGCCTGCAGCACCGAACCCATACTGATGCGCGGCATCCGGTAGTGAAGATAAACCTAAAATGGAGTGCCGGAGGAAAAAAAAACCTTTAACCAACCACTAAGCAGCAAATCTTGGCCGAACGCGCCGACTCCGTGGCCGCGCCTCTAGACCAACCACCTTCAAGGTCGTCGTGCGTACACGTCCGTTGGTGGCGGTGATAGGGTGTGTTTTGATAGGGCCAGGTAGATTTATACCAGCAACTAGGTGAGTTCTAAAGGCACTTTCGTGTGACGGGAAGTTCTAGTAAACACACAAAACAATATCGCGCGCCAACTGTTCCACCAATAATTGTGGGCGGGATGCCTTAAATAGGTGTGTGTGTGTGTGTGTGTGTTTACAACGCGTCCAGTTTGATTGTGGCAACTTCTGAACATGGAGACCAAGGGCATCGAACAGGAGCAAACAATCACTAAACCAGCGTTTAACTGACCAAATCATGGTTGAACGAATGTAGGCATTGCGACTGCGTGACGAATACAGGTCACACACGCAAAGAACAGAAGGAGCGGAGAAGACAGTCAGAGTATTAACATTGAAATAATTCAACGACTTACAGCAGTTTTGGCAAAAGATTATAGTTTTAACCACAGCTTCCAACTTCCTACAGATTTACAGAGGATCTGGGAAGTGTGGAATGCAAGTCAGTGTGGGAGGTGTTTGAAAGCCTGGTGTGGTGAGAGAATGAGTCATGCGTGGTGGTCAGTAGTGGCAACTACACCGTGGGCGTGGATATGAAGACAGTGTACGTATCACGATTTCACACCTTGCGTGTAACACCAGGTACATGGAGCTAGCCGTGCGTGTTTTTGTTGACAACGCGAAAGTTTGTGATAACAAGGTGCCTTCTAATTTCACAATTAACCGAATCTGTTAGCACGTGAACAAGGCGCTATTGCTAACGTCACAATTGCAGGATTTCAGTGCATCGATGAGAATAACAAATACCAAACGCCGCTCTCTGCCAATCAAATAGACTTTGCGGTGCTTAAGAGAAGTCACTTCCGCATCGTACTTGTTTGGTAATTGATTTATTCGGATGAGAGCAAGGCCCTACTTAAGTGATTTTACCTCCACATCGAATCACGCGCTCACCTACTTGTATCTCTCAAAGTAATTTGGTGGGATTAATGAGAACGCAGGACTTCACACACGTTGCCAAAGCTCCATTCAATGACTAATTCACGCCTGTGTATGAATTAATTATAGATGGGTGGCAATATGCCTCTTCTGCAAATATCCTTACAATGGAAGCTAAGAATTGACCTACTGCCGAAATGTTAAAATGCCCGTGAGAAATAGAAATACAAACACCGATTGCTTCTACACAGAAAAACTCATTTTCCGATTATTACAGCTTACGTAGGATGACACCCACGCTGATAACATGAAGGCACTGCTTCGTTAGCCAACGAACGAGGATTAATCGTGAGAATGCGTCAAAGAGGTAGATATTAGATTGATTTATCCGAATTGTGGGACCACTTTTGGGAAAATACAAATTAAGTTGGGTCATAGGAGTAAACACCACAGCCCGTTACGAAAACAAACATACAGGAGAGGCAGGTAAAAACAAAGATAACCAGAGTAGGCGAATGTAGATTTGAAACACAAGCGATGGCTAAACCGTTGTAAGCAATGTGAAATCGTGATCAAAGCGCGCCATTATTATAGCTGGTAGTCACGGAGTATATTTTAAAAACTCTGAATTCTATACATCAATTATTATAAAATGTTTATTGAAACATGTTCAGGTAGAAGTAGCAACGCTTAATTCGGGTTCTTTCGTGACCTATAATTGCTAGGAATTTGTGTAAACACCTTCATTTAACTGAGCGGAATGTCTTAAACAAATATACAAATTTTAAAACAAAGAGAGAAAACTTGGTGATCGAAAATTTAATGATACTAGACAGCAAGCATAAAAATACTTTAACAAAATGTTTGATACGTACCACAATGAAGATTGCTGGAAACATAGAATAAGCTGAATGTCCTGATGGAAAAGATAACCTGAAAATGGATAGACGATTGAAACTCAGAGGTTGTGGAAATGAAAAAAATTAGCATAAATACTTGATGTGAACATGACGCTATGAAATCACAATGATGCAACTTTTGTGATGACACATCTAACTCCATGACAACTGTTTTCTAAGTCAAAAATTATCCCCACAAGATCAGGCTTAGAAAAATAACTCCGAAATCGGCTGAGGTTAAATAATTAAGGTGGAAGTTCTTGTTATAAGATAAATTTGGATAAAAATTAAATAGTCAGATGAAATTGTTTCGCCAATACTAGTTTACACAAAATAAATATATAAATCGACGTAATTTGGATCAAATATTACATACTGAAGCTTATTTTTAGGCTTGTTATTTTAGAGTAAGAATAAAATTTGGAAAACCAATTGCTTTCTACACTACTTAAATTGAACAAACGCTGCCATTATTATTGTCCCCATGGTAAAATAATTCTAAATTTATGCTTCTTAAAGTCGAAATTATGTTAAGTACTTCGAAAGAGTTTATTCAGAGCCTAGGAGTGTATAGTACCTCCACGAAAAAAATGACTCAGAAAGTACAAAAGACCTACCTCATCTCTCGAATCAAATGAGTATCGTTTTTCAAGCACGCAAAATTTGTAATGTATCCGAACCGAGTTTCCGTAACTACTGCTGGATTACAGACGTCAAAAAAGTTTGGGCGCAGTCTCCCAATGACAATCTTCCCAATGTGAACGAACATCGAAACTACAGCATATCCGAGAGCCAATAGATAAAGGAATTTGTACAAAGAAATTATGATCTGCAAAATCAATAATTATTATAATCCATACCAAAGGTATACGCTTGTAACGAGTGGCAAAACCATAATGGCGCGCTCGAACAAGTTCCGTGATGATGATCTAATAACTGAATGAAAAGAAATACAGAAACATACAATCAAAATCGCAATTATAGGTACTACAGTATATAAATACACCGACTTAACAGTCGAGGGATAATACGGGTACTTTAATGATTCGTCATTTGCGAAATAGCCCCTATGAAACGGTTCCATTGTGTAGACGACAGCTGACACAATTATAACTACAACACAACATTTACAAATGATACAAATTACATGGAGTAATCGCCAAAAGATCAAATAAAACGCGGAACAACGCCCACTTTAAACTCGACATTTGGTAAAACACACGACAGAGTCTAAAATGACCGCGCTACTAAGGTAGCCACACTGTCCATGGACACGAACCGTCTAAACAAGCATTTTTTGGTTAACACATCGGTGATTTGGATATGAATAATCCGTTTTTATACAATTTTTTGTATATTTTAATATACTTTTACTAGTCATGACTCTACACAAACTCTTAAGATGGTCATCAACCCAAAGTTTCCCGCCTTCTCGGAATTGCAATTAAGCATACATCCCTGGGTTTCACTGTGCGGTCGCATCCGCGTGCGCTTTAGTTCATATTATCTAAATGTCTACGTTACAATACCTACAGCATTTCCCTAACGTTCCACTCACTAGATATATGTATTCACCGAATAAAATTCCTTAATTGTAGACAATAAGTAAACAAAATATGATTATAATTCTGCCTGATATCTCAATTCGTCTTTTTTGCTTGATAAAGCATTAGTAGCAATCGATACATTAGTGATGAATTCAATGACGCCTAATTCAAAAAGTTTTTAACTATTGGTTTGGTAAAATCAACAGTCAAACTGTGTGATGTATGCAATTAAAACGGGTTAGTTTAATGAAAAATGCCTTAATATGTTGTACTAGATTTAAATATGTCATAGAGCTGCTTTGGATAAATGGGTATATTTATTTACTCTGACGACATACTTAGGATGCCATGGCTGCCTGCAATCGAGAATGAGGCGGGGAAATTTTTTTCACATAAGTGATGGCCTTCATCCAAAGTTCTATTCTTCCTTTTTTATTTACTACTGCTTCTTTGCTGTAAATTTTTACAAGACCACTGGTAGAAAAACTATACTACATCTTAATTACACCCGGAATATTTAAGGAACTTATCTTCAAATTTAGATTTACAAGAAGCAGAGTAACTATCACTTCAATGCTAATGAAAGGCAGTTTTGGCACTAAAAATTGAATTTTAGTGGCGCAAAATGTCTCCCAATTTTATCATAACTGTTATGGACTGCATTCTTTTGTTTTAATTTTTATGGATCTGTTACGTTTGACCGTAACCAAGAGAAACCCACTTAGATAAACAATACCAGATCCCTTGTCTGACGCTAGAATCGACCTTCACGCGCTAATGCAAGACAAAACCAGTGCTCGTTTTAACCGTCTCATGCGATTGGCTAGTGGTCAGCCTGATGGATGAAACCTGATTAACACGGACGGGGTTTCAGTATTGCGCCCACTCATCCGCTACGTGGCGTGTGTGGGTGATTAGTGTAAATAATGACGAAAATCGGCAAGGAGCCATCTTGGGGACTCCTAGAACCCCTAACGGGATGCTATTTTCCTTTTTACAAATTTAAACTATTACTGCCTACATTTATGTTCACAACAGATTTATTTCCCAGTTATCGCCTAGCTTGTATCCTCATCTTATCTAATTAGTTGGCATTTCTATTACTCAGGACAAGAATTCTTGTTAAAAAAAGAAAGTAAACACAAACCAAACTGTTTAATTTGGAAGTTTAACTGATATTGACGTAGAATGATCACTTATCTAATCCGATTCAAAGTTTGTTTAAGTGCACTGACAATTTGATCTTCCCAACGCACGAAATTTTCCAACTCAGTTCTTCGACCCTCTCAACTTCTAGTACCCAGCCAACCAAATAAATGAACATAAATTTGAAGAAAAATGAAAGCACATTAACATGCATTAGAGCTTGTATCCATTCTGTAATTAACATTGTATTCAAGTGAACATCTTAAACTTTCTACATTTTAAAAGTAATAGATCAATTGGAATAATAAAAAAATTAGTTTCAGCGGTTCTTTTGGAAAAGAAATGAAACCACAAATCGGGTAAAATATTTAATCACCACGCTATTGATTGATTGCACAAGTTCTTGCCGATTTGAAACAAGACCCATTCAATAATATGTCCTCCAAAATTGCCGATAACTTTCTTCCACACGTCTAGAATTTAAAGAAACCTCTCATGGAAGAAAATTTGATGTTTCTGTTCAAACATTTGCGATGCGGCTTTGAATGCTAACCTTCGGAATGGGTCATCTTCCACCATGTTCTACCTCCTTACTTGAATTCCAACAAGAACAATGTCGAACAAGATGAGGTCCAAAATCGTCTCTATCCTTCAGTAAATTTTAAATGGAAAAAATGCTTAGAAGTGGCTCTGGTAGCGCGTGAACCAGGAATTTTCCAAGGTCAAACTAGCTTTTGTTAACGTTCGAATGTGATTATGAAAAACCGGTTATTTTACTAAACCAGTTGGAAGATTATGTGCGGTTTCGTAAATCACCCTCCTGTGTATGTCGTCAGTTGATAGAGCCTAGATAACAGGATTAGATTGTTCATACGAAAATCAATAATCGATTGATGGGTGTGTGCGTGTCAGCGCGTGTGACTCTGAGCGTGAAGGTCAACTACAAACCAGACCGAAATAGGTGGGTAATTGATTCACTTCCTCTCCAGACTGTCGTTATTTCGACAAAATAGAATTTCTAGCAACCACCTTCCACTATACCGTGACAGAATAGATAAAACAGAGGCAAACGTGCTTAATTTCAGTCAAAAGGGAGAAATTTCGCCAGATTCAATCAACACGTAATGGTTCGCTTGCACTACCCTAAAACCCTACTAGTTGACAGGCCGTAACAACACAGCAGCAGAGAAAAAAACTGGTGAGGGCGGATACGACAGTTAATTATCGTCAGACTACCAAAATGTCTATTTATAAGTGTGCGTGAGAGGGAATATTGATTGTCAACTGCAATCAACAGCCAATGAAGTTCGGTCAATTCAAGAATGAATTTCACTCATGCCTGTTCGTTGATAGTTCACTACAAATACCCATTTTTTGGGAAATTAATATATATCAATTGTAAAGGAGGCTGTGTTTTGGGGTTTTATTGTTTCAAAGAGTTTACTGTGAAGGCAAAATTATTGAATTTCATTTTGAAACTCTCCTTCGTTTACTTTACTTGTCAATAACTTGCGTAAATGGTTCATTTGAACATGATAGTTTGTCCACAGATTGATTGTGAAAGTGTGTTATGCGAATCTGCACTAAAATTCCGCGTACGTTCCTCATACATTCCGTTACCTTGGGTGTTGACTTAAACACAGCTAATTATGCATTAAATTCAAATTATAACTGAAAGAGAGGAGATGTGAAAGATAAAATCCGATTTGTTGACTCGAAATATCATCCTTGAGACTCAACCACGCATTGTGTGTTTTAGATAATTCCCGCTAATTCATTTAGAAGTAAAGGCCGACTTTTCTGTTCCACGTCTAAAAAAAGAGCGGATTTAAATTGTCAAGAACAAGCTTGTCAGGAGCCAGTTTAAGTTGGCGAGGATTTAGCGATTAGTCCTGGTTTAAGAAAATTTCTTTTCCATGGGTCATTGTAGATGAAATTTTGGATCGAGCATAATTTAACTGCCTCAACAAGATAAAAACTAGTCGAGCAAGTTGACGCAAGACACGCAAGTCGAGTTTGCTGGTGAGACAACCATGACGGTGCCCAGTTTAGCAGGCGGAAATTTAATTATCCCTCTAGGGACGACACAACTTAACAAACACCCACTCATTTCTACTCCAAATTATCGAAACTTTCATTTTCTCACGTGCGCGCTGAGTAAAGTTAATGAAAAGAGTTAAAAAAATTCGCCTTGTGAGCGTGTCAGTAGCGTGGTAAAACATCAGTTTATAGCGGAACGCGATATCGATTTCTGAACGAACATCCCAATGTGAAGTGCATGCAGGATAATCGATTGAATTTGTGCGCGCTCACACGTGCTAGCACGGCTCGCTCTCTGATTGGCACAAGCTATATAGGGTTTTAATAATCACCTCTTTTGATTACATACATAAGTTTTCGCCATTTAAGTGAGTCTGTACATTATCCTCAAACACAAATTTGACTTAAATTAGGAAAATTAGCATTGAAACGAATTTAAAAAGAAACGAAAGCAGTGTTTGTGCTCTTGCCTGTATATGCAGTTTCCAATGATGTTGGATTGAAGGGATCACGAAAATATGAAGGCATTCTAATTGAATATCGCCTCTAAGTTGAGTATCTCTGTGTGGGGCATTAATCTTTGCATCACAAATCGATTTCTGGTCTATTTCTGGTCTATCCGGTGTCGGGCTTTATCAAAAAGACGTCGGTTATTGGGATGACCATAAAGTCGTTTCCTTATTGACTGTGCGATAAGTCAGACATAAAATAAATGACAGTTTTTATGACATTGGTAGCTACGACTGACGTTACCATTTAATGTTCACACCATTAGTTATCACTCTGTGTCCGCATTCAGGCATCTCGTTATCATTTAACGGTGACTTGCAACTAAGTGAAATGAACTTATTAAAAGAAACAGCTTCGCAGTTTTCAAAAGTTCTTATTTTATCTAGGAATCGGACATGTCACATATTCAATCGACTCGTTCGTCACTGAGGTGTCATATTATCCATCCTACTTCAAAATTGTTTATATCGGCTAGCTGATTTTCAAATTTTTCAAGTTGGAATTGTTTTGCGGGATCTGTAGGTGCGTTGCATCATTTCGAATTTGCGTAACCACGCAATAAACGAGGGAAAGTATTTTGTTATGAAAATTATTGCAGGCCAACTCAATGCTTCCATCATGTTGATGACATTGCAGATCATCCGGCGTTTAGGAAACTGTAAATTAAGATGTGCTTTTGAGCCTTAAGTTTGTAACCTTGGAACTTCTACAACTAGTAACCTTGCGTTGTTCCCCATCTTCAAATGTGACGTCTTCTGCACCAATCAAAATTCAGTGGACCGTCCAATCACGTAGCTGGATGCAGGCTCTGAAGTAAGGGTCACAAAATTAGGAAGTTGGAGTAAGTGTAGTTGCATTTTGAATTAAGTATGAAGAAAGAATTACGAGATTTTTTTTGTCCACGTCCCTCACACAATATTTCATCACTGCATTTGTTTATGGGCCAATAAAAAGAGACTAAAATCGGC